ATGAACACAATGTTAGCTATGCTGTTAGTTCTGTTGCACTGTAAATATTTAAGGTATTAACAATATACATTTAAAATATAAAGTGCAATTGAATTAGTAGTACTGAGTATTCAAAATATATATCAAACTCAGTAATACATTTTAATTGGTATTTTTGGAAATCTAAGGCATAAAGAGGTTAATGTTAGCCTTTGAAAATGTGTTTTGCTTGTTATAGCAGATGAATTAGAAATTTTCAAACACTATGCAGTTTCCAGGTGGCAGCCACCTGGAAATTAAGCGCTCTAAGTGTTCACAGTAGGTGAATAAAAGATAAACATTGGGAATTTAGTAAGGCATTTACCATAAAATGTTGGAAAGTCACGAGGAGCTGGAAACCAGGAAATGTATTTGACTAGACAAATATTTGGGTCAGACCAAGACATTACTAGCTAAAAGCAAACAAATAAAGCCTTAAAAGCAGAGAGGTCTATAAAATGGGAAGGAAAAAAAAAATCAAATATAAGATGTCAAAAAACGCTCCTGAAAGCTAAAAATGTGGAAACAAACAAGTGACAAAATCATAACTGGGCAATCATTAAATCCACTCTGATAATACATTAATACATTGAACATTGCCCTTTCTTTAGAAGCTAACTATATTCCCAGCAGTTCCAGAAATGGTCTCTGGTCTAGAGTAAGCATTTTTAAACAGGACCCTAAGATTTTCTGGAAAACCTATGAATTTTTTAAGGAAAGAGTGGAATACACAGAAACTTAGGTGAGGTCCCCAGTAAGGACCAGGAAAGAGCACCAAAGGGAAGGTGACATTTGCTTGAAGTCACTTGATGAAGGAGAGAACTAGACAACATTCCAGACCCAGGCTGCCACTCCCCATAGATTTAATTGACACAGAATCTACCACACAGTTGTCAGTTGGGTGTTGAAGGCTATAAAGAAACGAGGCAAATGAGATAAAAGAATAGATGGAAGGGGGCTCAGAAGAATTTTCTTGAGCCAATAAATGTTGGGGAGGGGAGGTTAAGGGTTCAGGAATAAAGAGCCACATTTTAGGACAGACTGTAATCTACATATTGAGACAAAGCTGGAGGTGGCACGTAAGCTGCTGGATATACGAGTGCGGAGCTTGGGAGGAGAGCCTGGGGTATACATTTGTAAGTCATGAATAACATGATGGTATGTAAGCCTTGGGGAACTGCAGACATTGTCCAAGGAGAAGCTATAGGGAGAAAAAAAAAGGACTCAGTACTCGGGTAATAACAGCAACACTTAGAGGTTGCATAGCAGAAGAGGAAGAAGTCAAGGTTATGAAGAGTAAGAGGGAGGAGCCAGTGGGGACAGAAGCCAGATACCTGTGAGGGAACCTGGGTTGCACTCAGACACAGAAACTATACTTTGGACTGGCAGCAAACACAGTTTCTGACACAGAGTAATCAATCACACACAACATATGCTTGTTGAATGAATGAATGAATGAATGAATGAATGAATGAATAAGGTACAGACTGGGCAACAATGGCATTTCTAGAATGCAGTGTTAACTATCCAGGGTAAAATGGAAATGTATATTAGAGCTATGATAACCCTAAAAAAGACAGAGCTGAACAAGGTGACACCGTAAACTCACCTTAGTTTTATTGTAATATACTCCCCAAAACCCACAGTTGTGTCATATTTCCTACTCATTAATAAAATACGATCCCAATTTAATAACGAAACAGGTTACGTGAAATAATCAATGAAACTTTCCTGATTAGAGTTCATTAATTTCAGCTGTTTAGACAAGGGAAACATGTATTCAACACTTAGAAGTCCAGAAAGGGAAGAAATATTACAAAGGTATACAGAAATACAATAATGACCCAAAATATTTTCACAGAAATACAACAGAAAAGCTGTAAGCCATTACCTCTTAGAAAAACAGCAGCCTTAATGAAGTACATTTTTGAAAATTGTCAGACGGCTAAGCTCATTAGTTGCAATAAAAGTTCCCCCTGCTGATCCAGGAGTACCTAATGGCCAGGATTTGTTATGTCTCAAAAATAAAGGTACTTTTTAATTCATGTGATAGCTCACTGAGGAGATTTCAAATCTGGAAACTTTTAAATAATGATATATAACATAAGAGCATTGAAATTCTCCAAAGCAAACAGACTTTTTGATCCAAAACATTACATGTATTCCTCTAACATCTCATTCATTAATAGGATAATATAAACATAGAAAGAACTTATGCTCAACAACCACCTACACTACAAAACATTATCTCTGCGATGGCTATTGTATTTCAGAAGTGAAGGCGCCTGCTCCCTGAGAAACACATTAACAGGATCTGCTGACCCATCCGCATATGGGAGCCTCAGCTATAGCAGATGGAAACTAAGCACCCCCAAGGCCCCAGACTGCCCCATAGAAACACCAACAAAGAAAACAAACGGAAGAATCTAATGACCAAGTTACAACTCTGCAAGCCCTTAGGAAAGCTAAATATCTTTCAAAAGTAAAATATCATAATATTTATATAGAATTTTAAGTACAATCAAAATAATCAAGGTAGATAAATAATATTTTAAGAATTTCATTTAGGAACAAAAATTGCTAGAAAATAAATTTGATGATGAAAAAATGCAACTAAAAAAAAAAGTGTGTTCAGGCTTACTGTTGGGTTTTAGAACCAGTAAGAGAGATGAAGCGATGAGAAATGCAAACTGCTGTTAGCAGAGAATGCTTGCACTGCTTTAATTCTTGCTAAAGACTTAATATTGATAGAAGCTATTAACTACCCAACTACCTTTTCCACAGAAAAAGAATTTTCTCTATATTTCGAGGCACTTTGCACTACTTTTTTCATCTACCACTCTGTTACTTACTAAGTTTAACATTCTTCAAAAATATCCATTTGCAATTCTTTTTCATCCCATTTATTCCAAAATCTCATTTTAGGAAAGTCGCCTTCCCCAAGTTAAAGAGCCACTTAAAAGCTATTTTGAGTATCACTGAGTTATTTTTAATGTCTTTATTTCCTCTGGGCTCTTTGGCCCTACCTCACATTATTTAAGAAAATAATTTGGATTATTTCCATTCTTAAATTTCACTTAGACACACACACACACACACACACACACACACACACACACACACACACACCCCTCATACCAAGGACACTTTAAGGTAGCACAAGGGTAAAGTAAGCAATATCATCAGATGAAGAGGCAGAGGTGAAAAGTAAAATACAGAGTTTAAGCTCTGGTCTTAAAAATCCAGACTAATATTTCCAACTTCCCCCTCCCCCCACAGACTGTATGAGGTGAACACTTTAGAGAAACAAATCTCAGGAAAAAGTGTCAAAGCACATCTCATCTAATCACGTGTCTTTTTGCACATAAAGTGCTAGAACCCCCAAATTATCAAAGAAAAAAAAAACAATTTAAAGGGGGTAAGGAATGATAAAAGTGATTTTATTTTTATTTAAGAAGGAATATTCACTATAATGTTGAAAAAACCTATCCTTCTATAAGTTGACAAATTCCAATTTTAACAATGAAAACCAGATTACAAAATAATTTGATATTACTAATGACCAGTGGTCAACAAACAAAAAATACAGATAGTCCACCATTTCAAATGAGTTGTCTTCCAAAATGTATACATTTTATATATATAAACCCATACATTTGTATATATTCATACAAATGTGTATTCATTCATAAATTGGTTGTTTGGAGCCAATTAATTTTTTTTCCATAGAATCGAAGTGACATACAAATGAAAAGTAGGTTCTTCGGGTGATCAAAAATTGCATTTACATCATATTATAACCAAGTATTTATAATAGGGCCTATCCTTTTTATGACTCTTTATAATTTGATCTAAGCTCATAGTCGGGGCTAGAAGCAGGTGAAAAATTTGGGCGTTAGGAAGCAGTGAATGCAATCTCTGGCAGTTTGGTATCTACAAGGACAGAGAAAAACAGCTCTGGGGGCGGCCAGGTAGCTCAGTTGGTTAGAGAGCGTGCTCTGACCAACAGCGTTGCAGGGTTCGATTCCCGCATGGGCCAGTAAGCTGCTCCCTCCACAACTAAGATTGAAGGACAACGACTTGACTTGGACTGATAGGTCCTGGAAAAAACACATTGTTCCCCAATAAAGTAGAAATTAAAAAACAAAACAAAACAAAACAAAAAAACAGCTCTGAGTGGAGACAGATTTAGGACTCAGGCAAAGGGGAATAGGTGTCCTCAAGCGCTTGTGAATGACTCAGTATCAAGGGAACTTCCCAGTGGCCTGCAGTGCAGAAGGCTTAGTCACAGAGGTGGGCCGGCAGGCGTTCAAAGTTTTAAACTGCAAAACAATGTATTCTTGAATATAGGGCCTCATTATCTAATCAAATTAAACTCATAGCTCCAATAATGACAACTCATGAAACAAACGTTTTAGTTTTCTATTTTTAAAATGACATATTCAGAATGAAAACACTTTGACAAAGTAGCAAATATGTAGAAATAAAAGGCATTGTTTTCTGTGTTTGAGAACTAACTAAAGACCCAGAGCAGTGAAATGTGTTCTATAAAAGCACAAACCTTGGGCCGGCCGAGTGGCTCAATTGGTTAAGAGCACAGGCTCTGAGCAACAGGGTCGCCAGTTCAATTCCCACATGGGCCAGTGAGCTGCCCCGGAGCTGAGCTGCCATTGAGCTGCCGCTGAGTTGCCAACAGGTAGCAGGATGGCTCAGCTGGTGAGAGCATGTGCTCCTAATAACAAGGCTGCCAGTTTGACTCCTGCATGGGATGGTGGGCAACTAAGATTGAACACTACACCTTGAGCTGAGTGGCCACGAGCTGTCGATGGGTGGCTGGATGGCAACTATACTTGGAGCTGAGCTAGCTGCGCCCTCCACAACTAAGACTGAAGGACACCAACTTGGCTGTTCCCCTTCCCCAATTCCCCAACACTGTTCTCCTACCCCAACCCCCAATAACATCTTTAAAAACAACCACAAACCTTTACTAGCTTTGTCCAAATGTTCTAAATCATCCACAAAACTCAGGATATCAGGGTACTTTTCTTCACATGTTTCCACCAGAAAATGAAGGAGTGTTGTTTTTTGATCAGCTGATTTTGTGTCCTTTAGCTAAGTAGGATAAGAGGGAGAAAAAAAACCAAGATGATCAAAATATGTTTATTTAAACGATGTTAATACTGTATTTTGTAAATAAGAATGAATGAGTTGTAAACTTAGTTAATTCCGTTGAAGAAAAGCAGATATTTAAGTACTTGAAAAGCTATTCTTTACATATTGTTGTTTGGTCAAAGTCACTAATAGTAATTGAAAAAAATAAGTTTAATCCAATCTACTGTGTGACATTTTATGGGGGAAAAAATATATGATAAATCCCTAGGAAAACAGAGAAACCTGAAAGTCTATACAATAGTGGGACTTAAAACAACTCGAACATCTGTTCATGTTTTTCATTTGGCGTATACTTACAGAATGCCTATTAGATACTTCCGGAGCTAGACATACAGCAAAGGAGACACGGAGCCAAGCCTCAGAAACTGTTCAGTGAAAAACAAAAACCAAACGAACAAAGCCCCCAGAAAATATGTATTTACTCTAGTGTGACAAACAGTATAGTCAAAATAACCAGAAAGTACAGGGCCGGCCGAGTGGCTCAGTTGGTTAAGAGCTCGCTCAAGAGTTTGAGCTCTGAGCAACAGCGGTTCGAGTCCCGGCCCGAGCTGAGCTGCTGCTGAGCTGCCAACAGGTGGCAGGATGGCTCAGCTAAAAAAAAAAAAATCACAAAGTACATCTGGGATTAGTACATGCCAACTGAATTGAACTTGAACACGGGTAGACAGGAAGTGGTATGGAGTTTGGGAAGGGAAGAAGAAAATTCCAAAGCTCAGCATCCTGGGCAAATGGAGTAGCCTCTGAAAAAGGCCATAGATGAGGAAGGAAATGGCACATCTGAGGAGCCTGAATGGCTCAAAAATAAAGTGTGTGTTGGGGAGGGCAAGTAGGTAGACCAGAAAGACAGAAATCTGGAAAGACAGGAAAAGACAAGATAATAAAAGAAAAGGTAGGTCATGCAATGAAAAAAGGATTCTGATCCCTACGAATTGGGAGTTTTTAAACAGATGAGAGATGATCAGCCATACAATTTAGAAAGCTCCCTGCAGGGCAATGTGGATAAAATATTGGGGCAAGGGTAATAACAGGAGCAGGAAGGGTAATTTAAAAAGCTGTAGCAATTGCCCAGGCAGGGAAAGATGACAGCCAGAGCTGAGGTCATGCTGCAGGAACAGAGCTAATGGGTCAGCGTGGGCACAGAAACCCAGGATCCCACTAATTGAAACCAGACAGAAAGGATGGGAAACAGATTTGTGCGGGGTGGGCAGTGAAAATAATTGTTTCAGTTCTGAACAAGTTGAGTCTGAAGTTTTTAAATAACATCCAAGTAGAAATGTCCACAAAAGACGTAATTTATATAGGTGTATAACGGTGTTTCTCAACCTTTTTTTCATTATTGCCAGCCAAGGAGCTTTTTAAGACATTTTCCCCATAATCATTTGTACCTATGGAATTTTAAAACCATGGGTGCACTGTATAAGTTTATGCACTGTATGTGTATTTGCACTTTACACATGAAAACAATAAGATTAGATTATTTTTGCACCTCAAGAACAACTTTCTATCCTTTGAGGTGATAACCTGTCAAACTGTTGAGAATCCCTTGGTGATGGTGGGGGGAACTCAGAGGGGTAAACTGGTCTAAAAGCACCAGTTTGTGAGCTATTCAAAAGTGAATCAAATAAACCCAAACAAGTATATAGAATGAAAGGGAGAACAGAGGCCTGAGGACTTGGATGAACATATCCCAATCTGAAATGGCCAAGGAATGCAATCCACCAGGAGAGGTGGTTAAGCTGAAATCTTAGCAGTAAGGAGGGAGTTAGCTTGGGTTTTGTGTAGCTCAGGTTGTGGGAAATGGGCGTTGGGTGTGAATATGGGGCGGATCTGGCAGTATTCCCACAACTGAGTAATCATTCAGAGCGGGTAAGTATATAAGGCTGGGGGGAGGGGGCAGGCGGGAACCGCTCTTTGCATACCAGGATTTAATTTAGAGCTGGAAAGTCTTGGCCTGCCTAATTGGGCACAGCCCTATGTACGTGCTTCCTTTCCAACCATCTCCCACTTTAAAATAAGGGTGAGTGCCTGTGTGTGTCTGTATAAATATGTATCTCCATATGTAATATTTTTACAAATTCTACATCACTAAATAATATATCACTATCAGAAAAATATCAAAAAACAGTTAATATGATAGAAGAATAGGAGCAATTCTGTGCCAGTAAATATTAGCACACACCACTATTTGTTAATGCAAAAACTATAATATTCCTGGAAACAAACAGTGATGCCCCTAGACAGCCTGACTTTCATATGATTCCCCATGGTATAGGTTCAAACGCTATCTTGCCCTATTCAGCACACAAACCATTGTCAATCACTATTTTGTACACCTGAAATGAATATAATATTGTATGCTAACCATGATATAAAAAAAAAAAAGAATGGCTCTTGGCACTTTAAAAACTGGTATTAACATTTAATCCATTTTTTAATGCCTTTCAAAAGGAACACAGATCACAACATCCAGCTGAGTGTTTTGAAAGAGTATTAAAAAGTGAATCAAATAATGACTTGATTACTAGCTAGACTGTCACTCGCATGCATGGTTGACCCCGTAATATTAAAACATGTCTTTAATTAGTTACACAGCCTTGGGCAAGTTACTGGACCTTTGTTTCCACAGAGGTGAGATAAGAAAATGGACCAGGCAGAGCAAGAGACCTCTAAATTCATTTTTCCATTCCAAAAATATTAAGTATGCATTATAGTGGACTTAGAAGACACAGCAAAATCGAATCTGAAAAATACTAGAATGAAAATGAAGAAACCTGGTTATAATCTCAGTTCAGAAGTTCTTTTTGCACGCTTGAGTAAGTTGGAACCTTTTTATGAGTTTGTTTTTACATATTTTGAGAATGTTAATTTGATCTGCATTCATATTGTCATCTTAAATGGATATGGGCAGATTAAAAGTAGCAAGCTTTCACAAATATAACAGTTTTCTCATATACAATCAAGAGTTAACATGAAAGCTGACTTTTTTTTTTTAAACATCCTAGTAGTAAAGCTCTTTTATCTCCATTCCCCCCCCCCCCCTTTAAAGCAGTGACTACCTGGAGAATCCTGTCCCTCTGTGGACACTCAGCTCCTGCGACGTTTATACCCTTCCTTACCATGCTCCTTTCACGGGAAACCAGATACACAGCCTGGGTGGAATGCTAAGACAAGCACCATCTCCCTCCATAATTTGGAAAGCCTGGAAACAGTGTTCCAGCACTATTTGTGATACAGCTAAACAGCCAGCAACTACTAGAATTAACTGTATCAAGAAATCTCTATGATCCAACAGTAACCGGCTGGATCAATCTTGATCATTATTCATGAGCAATAAGAATTCAGAATTAGAACTCTGGAAATACTAGTTTGTGTAGCATCTACAAGTTTAACAAATATTAAGTATGCAGGTCAAACAAAGATTCCAGTATTCAGAGACAATCATAAAGCTGAACGCTCATTTATGGAGGATGGTGCTATCTTGGCTATATTATCGAAAACATCAACTGATAAGAAAGTAGCATTGGTATCAGTTTAATATTTAAAAGTATACTGACTAAACAGTAAATGGAAGCAGAATTCTCCCATTCTTCCAAAATCAGTATTTAACAATTGTGACACACACACACACACACACACACAATCCCTCAAATTTCCAAATATACTAAAAAAAAAAAAAATCCCTCAAATTTCCAAATGAATCTGAACTTAAACTTAATAAGTAGTTCAGCAAGGAAACACAGATAGAGACCATCTGTTGATAATGCATCGTGTCTCACTTACAAACTACTATGTGGCTCTCAATTCCAGGACATTCTTTATTCACGTTCTAACATCCTCAGGAAAAATTGCATAATGCTGCCAAGGTATTCTTTCTGACTCAGTACTCTATTCCTTTCCTCTTTCCCCAAATCACTGAAGAAGGAGGAGGAGGTGGGGGAGAAGGAGAAGAAGCCTTCCAACATCATGAAAGCACAAGAAAATGTATTTTTCAGAGTCTTTATTTTTCTTCACCTTTTTGATAAACATTAACAATAAAAAGGTACATTCTATTTCTACTAATTTCTCATATCAAACATAATCAGTGATTGAGCTAGAAGAGGTAAAGCTTGAGAGGTAGTGATAATTTTGCTGAAGAGAAAAAAATTCCATAATGCTAACATTTGGAAAGAAAAAATGAAGCCAAAAACTTGCTTTAAAATTCATTTAAGTTTAAAAAATATGCCTTATTCGAATTTAACAGACATTGCTTGACAGAATTCCTTTTGTATTATTGTCAAGAGATTCATCTTCCTGATGAGTAATCATCACTGTGAAGTTGAATTTCTTATTTATATATTGTTTCTTTAAAGTACATTTAATGTGGCATAGGCGTCAAATAAACAAAAAGATGGATGGAGTTTCTTCAACTGCTCTGTTCATTCCAGACAAAATAATGTTAACAGTAGATCCTGTAATAAATCATGGTCTAGCTGTCAGTCTGAAGCAGAACTTCTTCGTAGCTACAATGCAAGGTTTTGGAATATTTTTAAGGCGTTCAGCACAAATTTGGATGACATTTAAAGAATACTCCATTGTTTTACTCACAAGAAAATCCTAAAATAAAATGAAACAGCATCTTCTTGGTGATCTTCAGAATTCAAAGACTAGCCCTTCACTCTTAGAATTATGAAACTTACAAATATATCTGAAGAATATTGTCAAATCAGTAACTTTCCTCCCATTATGTTCCTATAATCTAAGTATGTAGCAAAACAGCACAGAATCTTTAGATATTATAGGCATTGCTGAACACCAGAAAAATGACAAAATTATGAGAGTCTGGAATGGCTCCATGAACATTCTAGAAGACCCTAACTTGTGAATAGTATTAATGCTAAGGATGACAGCCACAGCACTTATTTATGTGGCACTTACTATGAGACAGGGACTAGCCAAAAAAA